CCCCAGCTAGTGGCCCTGCCGGGAGCGCCGGTCCCCCCGGCTCACGGGAGCCGGACAAGGTTCGGCATCCCCCAGTCGTCGCTCCCTCCCAGAGCCGCCCTTCTGAAACTGTTGTTCGTCCGGGTTCTCTGGACCTTGGACCTGCAGGGCGCGCCGCCAGGTCGGCGTCTGCACAGCGGACGGGGGGACGGCTCCCGCTGTCGACTCCGCCCCACTCACCGGGAGGGTCAATGGGTCCGCCTCCCATTCCTCCACCTGGAGACGGGGTTTCGGGTCGGCCTACCCTGCAGTCCCCGGTGGCGGGTCGTGCAACAAAGCGTGCCCCTCCTTGGCCGACGTCGCCTACGGAGGGTGGAAGTCCCAAAGCTCGGCCAAGGGTCCGGCTTACCTCCACTGAAGTAGAGCGTCGCCAGGAAGATTTGCTTAGTGCAAAATCCTAGGTGAACGCTTAAAGCATATGTAAGCTATACCGATGGATCTTAACCGTACACCCCACATACAAGCACACCTATCATGCCACTGACGTTTTTACAATGGAACATGCGTGGCTTGAGGGCCAACATGTCGGACCTACACACGCTCTTATCTAATCGTAACCCGGTTGTGGCATGCTTACAAGAAACAAAGGTATCTGATGACACTCACCTTAACAGCAAATGTTACAGCATATTTCGGAAGGACGTGAGAACTGATCCGATCGCTAATGGTGGGGTGGCGGTTTTAGTTCATCACAATATACCATGTTCTCCTGTAAGTCTTAACACTGACCTTCAAGCTGTCGCTGTCGTCGTCGACCTTGGGTTGCTGAGGCTGACTGTCTGTTCTATCTACCTCCCTCCTGCTGAGGAAGTACCGGATTCGATATTACAGTCCATCCTCGATCAGCTTCCATCGCCGTTCTTGCTGCTAGGTGACTTCAACTCCCATAGCCCTTCGTGGGGCTGCAGTCACACAAGCCGCCGAGATCGACATCTTGAGCGTTTGCTGAATACAAACAATCTTTGTGTTGTTAACACCGGCCGGCATACCCATATATCTCTGCCGTCCAGCACTACTTCAGCAATAGATCTTTCTATATGCTCCTCATCCCTTTTCCGTCGGTTGTCCTGGTTCGTTGAGAGCATTACATGTGGAAGCGACCATTTCCCAATATGGCTTGGGATGAGTGCTGGACACCCAGGCAGGAGGCCTTCCTGCTGGAACCTTCGACGTGCTAACTGGCAAAGGTTTACTGACGAGTGTCATATTAGAGTGCAGCCGACCGAGGACGACAATGCAACGTCTCTTACACAACAAGTGACATCCACAATTGTTGACACTGCAAGGTCTTGCATTCCCTTTACATCACCTGAGCCGCGCAGGATCCCTGTCCCCTGGTGGCCAGAGGACTGCAAGGCGGCAATTCTTAAGCGGAAGCGGGCGTTCAAGGTTTTTAATCGTTCTGCACCGGCCAACAGCCTCATCGCTTTTAAAAAGGCCAGAGCATTGGCGAAACGCACAATACGCGAGGCAAGCGTGCATCATGGACGGAATATGTAAATGGTTTAAACCGTCACACCCCACTGAGTGCAGTGTGGCAGCGAGTTAGTCGCTTTTCCTGTAGGAGCGTCTCCACTGCAGCTCCGGTGTTGAAAGTGGCGGGAATCGCGATATTGAACACACAGGAAGTTTCCAACAAAATAGGTCTCCCATTTGCAGAAAGGTGCCGACATGGAACAGACGACCCACGCTTTATTCGTTACAAGGAACAAAGTGAGAAGACGGCATTCAATTTTATGATTCCTGACTCAGAGATTTATGAGTACAACCAACCATTCACTGTCATGGAGCTCTGCACTGCTCTTAAGAGAGCTACTAGTGTGTCGCCTGGATTAGATAAAGTCCACAATGATATGTTAAATCACCTAAAGAAGGAGTCCCTCCATGCCTTACTTGAACTTTTCAACTACATATGGTTGCAAGATGACTTCCCGGAGTCGTGGCGGGAGGCCATTATAGTCCCGATACAGAAGCCCAGAAAGGATGGTTCCGACCCACTGTACTACCGCCCAATTTCGCTGACTTCATCCCTGTGCAAAGTGCTAGAGAGGATGGTGAATGATTGTCTCATGTGGTAGCTTGAAACTCATGGCTGTCTTTCCAAAGTGCAATGCGGGTTTCGGAGGAACCGATGCACTGTTGACCACTTAGCGATCTTAGACACAGCTATACGACATTCTTTTAAACAAAGACGTCACACGATAGCAGTCTTCTTTGACATTGAGCGGGCTTATGACACCACCTGGCGCTATGGCATTCTCAGCAAAGTACACAAGTGTGGACTCCGAGGTCACATGGCACTCTTCATTGAAAACTTTTTACGTCGTCGATTCTTCCGCACGCTATCTGAGCGCTATGAACAAGAGAACGGTCTTCCTCAAGGGAGCGTCCTTAGCGTAACCCTTTTTGCACTGATGATCGATGATATCGCCGACTGTCTGCCACCTACCATTAGTCGGTCACTGTTTGTGGACGACTTTGCCATCTGGTGTGCAGCATCCACAACAACGTCTGCTGATAGGCAGCTCCAGTTATGCCTGATTCGACTAACTGAGTGGAGCCTTGAGAACGGCTTCAAATTTTTGACCACCAATACTAAGTGTATGCATTCCTGCTCACGGATTAGAGGCTGTAGAGACCCGTAGTTGCGACTCTATAATGCCACTATCCCAGTTTGCGACGACATCTGTTTCCTGGGCCTCACGTTTGACCGTCGGCTCGCGTTTAAACAACGCTTTAAGATGGTTAAGATTAAGTGTCTCAAGCGCATGAACCTCATGAAAGCAATGTGTCGTATGACCTTTGGAGCCGATAGAAGCACCCTGTTAAACTTGTATAGGGCCTTAATTCGATCAGTCATCGATTATGCCCTGTCTACGATATAGCCTTGTCTACGATAATGCTGCTACATCTTCAAAGCAGGTTTTGGACACAATCCACCAAACATGTGTTCGTATAGCCACTAGGGCGTTTCGTACGACCCGAACAAGAAACTTGCTGGTGGAAGCGAATGAACCGCCCTTGCCTCTTAGGGGACAACGACTTACTTTGAATTACGCTACAAAGGTTTCACAATTTCCGGATCACCCAGCCTTTAAGTTCATCTTCTCTCAGAGTTAATCCGTTCTTTCCTGAGGAGGCGGCCCACGTCAGCGCGGCCGATGTGCCTAAACGTCCGGGACTGGCGGGACGGGGCGGATATTACGCTGGATGACATTGCCCCGCACACTCTTCGGGACCCAGCTCCGTGGAGACGTCTGAGTCTGAAGTTTGATTTAGAACTTTGTCAGCATCATAAAAATGGCACTCCACCACGAGAGTTCCTCACCTATTCGTTGGAACAGATCTCACAATACGCGAACTCATTACGAATATTTACTGATGGATCCAAGGGCTCAACAGGAACGGGTTGCGCATTTGTTTGCGGTGACCATACCGTAGGTCTATGCCTCCCGCATCACATGTCAGTTTTTTCCTCAGAACTGTTTGCTATTTTAGCAGCGCTTCAGTATGTTGCTTGTCGTCCTGAAAGGGATGTAGTCATTTTGACCGACCCACTTAGTGCACTTTTATCATTAGACCCGACGGCGATGTCGCGTGACCACTCATTTTTGACGCGCTCAATTTGGGAGGAACTGGAATGCCTGGACAAAACTTCCTGCCGTATCACATTTATGTGGATCCCCAGCCACACAGGAATAATGGGAAATGAAAAAGCGGACGCCGCAGCGAAGGCTGCGACGTGTGAGAGAAAACCAATACTAATTTATGTACCCGTTCGAGATCTGAAGTCAGTCCTTTCCAAATACGTCCGCAATACGTGGCAGCACATGTTCGACCAACATCTTCACGTTTTCAGGGAAATCAAGCCCCAACTGGGTGATTGGGAATCCTCCCATCGCCGAAGCCGCTTCCAGGAAGTCGCCCTTTGTAGGCTTCAGTTGGGTCATACATATGCAACACACTCGTTTTACTTGACGCGTAGGGATGTGCCACGGTGTGATAGGTGCGGGGACCGGTTGTCTGTAGAACATGTCCTCGTCTCATGCCGGCGCCTTGAGACGGAGAGGCGACGATTTTTTCCTCCAGCGCCCCTTCATCGGTTACTCGGTCGAGACCCATGTGGTGAACTTGGAGATATACTCGCATTTTTAGCACACATTGACTTTGACGTTATTTTCACTCACCCCTCAGTGTAAGTGCGCCAGTGATACTACCTGTTATTAGTTGACAACATACTTATCGCCCCTTGCCGACGCATGGGTGTTGGCGGACGGCCCGTCCTTACAATGATGACCGTAGAACGGCGGCTCGGGAAACCTACTTCTCACCGAACCTTAAGATCTTACCTGCGGGCATTCGATAGAAATAGGGGGGAGCGTTCACCCCGCCCGTGGAGTAATGGCCATGATATGACAGCCCCAGAAAAACTTACTAGAGCGCTGCGTTGCCACCTGGGGATAGCCATGATCCCACTGCTTGGCCATTTTGGCTCACAATTCAACGGCATTACCCTTCTGGGGCATATGCTAGTGCTTCTTGCTTCAAAAACAGCCGACTTACCAGACGAACGCTGATATAAGCAAACTGTCGAGACTTCGACTTGAAAGGATTGGTTGGGTCAGCGTTCCAGAGTTGGTTTTCCTGGAACCAGCGAAACATTCGGAGTACGCTGTTTCGACAGAAAAGACACCGTATGCCTGAAACATTATAACTTTTGCACATTGCATATGAAGTTCATGGTGTCAAACCGGATAGCAGTCATAACGACAGTAGGACAACGCGGTGCTCGCCTTTTATTACACGGCGTCCAGGCCAACGCCACGCAACATATCGCAGCTGTATTGGGAACCACACTGCAAAGAGGTAACTTTCGAATAGCTCAAGGAAGTCTGCCATAACTCGGTAAACATTACTCTAAAGTGCATTTTATATAACTAAATGCCTTTCAGTGTAAATTTCTACGGCATTTCCAGCTATGTTCACCAATTTCTTAACCACATTTCAATAAATCACCTGATCTAAGATTTAGTTCTTAAGAAGACTGAAAAAAGAACCGGCAGCACTTGACACACAAGCACGTCGCACAGTAAAACATATCCATCGCCAGTTGACGCTTCGAACATCGAGGTTTCGCGGGACACTTTTTCCATGCAACACCGCCGACGCAATGCTTAACTCCGAAGACTGAAGGAGACATCCACATCGCCCGCGGCGAAATAGGACCCACGGCCCGGCGGTGGGACCGGACAATCGCCCGCGGCGAAATAGGACCCACGGCCCGGCGGTGGGACCGGCGGTGGGACGGCGGCGGTGGGACCGGACAATCGCCCCGTCCCAAGGTGACAACGCGCAGCAGAATGGTTTGAAGTGAAATCAGCTGGCCGGCCGCTCCATACCATATTACCGTGCATACGCGGAACATGTCTCGCTTCGTCTACATAGCAGCAATATACCCGCATGACGTATTGCGTGTATGACAGCGTTTTGGAGCAAACTGGAGAAACACGGCCATCGAAAATCCACAAGTTTACAGCACATCACTGCCATGGTATGCCACGGCCCCCACGTTTGTCGCATATCTATCGTATAACTTCAGAATGCCCCGAACACATAAATACATGATGTTCCGCCATCAGTAGCATCGGTTGATCATCACCACCGTCATGACCATCAGTCTTGTCATGGTCATCACCTTATCACCCTCGTCATGGTCATCACCACCACCATCATCAACGTCGCCATCATCATGACATGTGAGCAGCATGCAAGGGAAACAACAGAACATCACCCTGTCCTGGAGGCTACAGTACATTGGCAAACACATGTCTCCCCAATGCACGATAGTTCCGTTGGCATCACGTGACCGGGACAGGCCTCTCACCGCGCAAAGGGTCGACGCCGCGCAAAAGACACACCCGGACCGTGGCTAAGTTCCGCGACGAAAAGCAACATTTGATAGGTAACGCTGCACAGGCTGTGTCTGGCTACAAAGGAGCACGTGGTTTTGCACACTTCGACGGCAGGCATGTTGGTGAAAACCGCAGCTGACCGGCAGCTTAATGGATATGGCCGGAGCAGGTTTATGACTAGGAGTTTCTCAGTCGCCTCACACTGCTTGCACGGACCTTAAGCGTTTCTAACTCATAAGAAATGGTGAAAACTACTTCAACCAAATATACATCACAAACAGACCGTACAACATCCACGCAGGTCCACGAATTCTGGTAGTACACCCCTTCCCCCTCTCCAGAGCTAACGAGATGAGATTCTGGAAGTGGTTTCTGTAACGTCAGCTGTGACAAAACTTAAGCTCACAATGAGAGCCAGCTATCTATTACTGCAGCCCGCCCACACGTCCGCCATGCTCGGCGTTCTCAATGGCTGAACGGCGCTTGTCACGCTGGCTTCACCCAGCTCCAATCAAATAACACACTTAATCCCACGTCATCACTTGTCCATTCTCACTGGCTCACCTGGTACAGTGGACGAGAGACATATCCACTTCGCAGACACCACAGCCTCGGTGCCATCACACAAACACCCGCGACAGGTCGCCCTCGCATGTCCTCGACCGATCAGCGTGGCGAAGCCTGAATCCGATTCTCACGACCAATAAAACGCATCGCCACCGCATGAACAACCCATTCGGCGTGCCGAAGCTCTGACGCGTTCTTTTGACGACGCGTCACTTCCACCGTCCAAGCTCTCTATTTCGGACCATGTCCACGCCATGCCGCCGTCCCGCTCTCCCCCCTTGCCGGTGGCCTAGCTGAAACGACTGCTGCCCGACATGGTCTTGCCGAAACTGATGAAAATGCTGGTGCGGTCGGTGAACTTGCCCCAGGAGCCGAACGGCACCACCACGCAGGAGATGTTGTCGTCAGACGAGTACGACAGCGCCTGCGGTGGACGACCGCCCAACTGTTAATTCAGTCTCAGCTCATAGACGACACCACGCGCGGCATGGCCTGTACCGGCGCACCAGGGTCCGGCTCCAATGGTAAAACATCAGTAGCGCGACAAGCCTAAAGATCGCCTTGATCGAGAGCGCAGACGCGGCTGCCACGACTGCAACAGCTTTCTGACTTCTTTTCGTCTCTTACACAATACTTTACGTAGAACCTAGATTTCAATGGTGATGACCTCAACAGACATGACAGCGCTTTAGATGCCAGCAACACTTCCAGTCATCTTGAATCCCATCTGCTTTCTCTCCGTCAAGGTCTCACCTCTCCCGGCCACCCACCAAACGTTAGTTCATGACTCGCCAACAGATGGCATCAACCATTCACACCATGGTTTTGATCGCGTTCTGGCCGCCTTATCATCGCGCCCGCTTTTCGGCAAGCCCGATGTCGCCCTCCACTCTCACTTTCTGTGCAAACCAGCGCACGGCCCCGGTGAGTTATCGTACCTCCGCTCTCACCTACAGTGAGACAGCCTACCACCATCTCACCTCACTCTCACCTTCTCGGTGAGCTAGCCCAGCGCCGCCTCCAGTCTCCTCTCACCTGGTCGGTGAGCAGCGCCGCGCCCTCGGACGGCGTGCGGCTGGCGTTGATGACGTCACAGATCTCCTGGTCCGTCATCACGTGGTTGATGCCGTCAGAGGTCAGCACCAGGAATACATCGCGACCGTGTTTGACCTGAGGTCACGGGACACGACGTCAGGGGCGTCATAAGCGCTGCAGGTGCGTGAGCAGGACTTGCTTGGGGAGGTGGAGGGGAAGTCACCATCACCACATTATCATCATTGTACAACAAACAGCATACAGGATAGTCACAATATACCCACAAGCATACAACTTGCGCGTAAAAAGGTCTCCCAGCATTTGCACAGACACTAGATAACTTAGGAGACCATGACTTTCAATAACCGATCTTGATCGACTGTCCCTGACTTTCAGTGAGACTTCGTACGACCGTGACTCTGAAATGTCCCTGAAATAGCTGAGTGAACTGTAATGACAATCAAATAACTTGGCTGAATTCCAATTGTCTTCAAAGCCGTGTGTGACCGCCTATGTAAAAAACCTCAAAGTGCCGCTTATGACCTGCAGTGACTCTCCAAATGGTCAGTAAGCCTTCGCTATCCATCCGTGATTCTCTAGCCTGCGGTAGGCTCCGCCGCCGTCCAGCGCCCGCGCCTGACCTCCATTGACCCTATCTGACTTTCGCCATCAGCGACTGACCTCCCGTGACCTTGGACCACTGACCTCGAGTGAGCGCGTGTCGGGGAAGGCGGTGACGCCGGCCCGCTTCAGGTGGAGGTCACCGATGCTGCGGGTCATGGCCAACCGGCCGTTCACCATGTGACGCCCCAGCTCGTCCACCACCACCGAGCCGCCAGACTGCTCCACCCGCCGCTGTCAACCAGGCAACCGTCATCATGTGACGCCCCAGCTCGTCCACCACCACCGAGCCGCCAGACTGCTCCACCCGCCGCTGTCAACCAGACAACTGTCATCATGTGACGCCCCAACTCGTCCACCACCACCGAGTCGCCAGACTGCTCCATCCGCCGCTGTCAACCAGACAACCGTCAGTCACCACCACCGAGCCGCCAGACTACTCCACCCACCGTGTCATCCAGACAACCATGACGCCTAATTCACTGACAGATGTAAGCTCGCTAAGCCACCGGCAGCTGTCAAACAGCCAGACCACCCTCAACCAGACAGTATGAGCATTAAAAGGTGAGACACTGCAGCTGCTCGCCTCAAACTGCGACGTCGCTGGGAGGATTTGTCGCCAAAGTTCACTAAAGAAGCGATCAACCCGCCCTATCTGAAAGCATGACGCCTTCGACTTCATGAAGTTCCACCGCTAACAATGCACCGACATTGGCATTGGCCGTTTCCACAAATGTTGTGACGGCTGATCGCAGCCAATCAGACAGTTACAGTCACAGTCACAGGCTGATCAGACCAGGATACACACACCGTTTAAACCACCGAAATAGCCATGGACAGATGCACGTGGACGGCGTGGCCCAGATAGACTTCCACTGGCGGCCACAGTTGCCCAGGTGCGCTGCATTCCTATCTCAGTCAAGAAGCTCGCAGAAGTGGGAGAAGTGACTGCACCGGGACACTTGGTGTTCGGTGCAGGGAGACGAGAAGGTGTGAGCCAACTCATACACACAGAGCGAAGGTGTAAAACGCCTTTCGCTGCCCGCGTGCCCTCAAGGTGGCTTCTGGCGCAGTATTTGAAGGTGTACACTTCATTAGATCACTGATCGGTGTTAATGGGTCCATACATCGCTGAACACATGAATGATTACACGACGGTGTAGGTGCGCGCGCAGACAATAAAACTAGCGAGAAAAGCGTGTTTCCGCCCGGGTTCGAACCGGGGACCTTCCGCGTGTGAAGCGGACGTGATAACCACTACACTACGGAAACGACTACCGCCCTCCCGGCGAAAACCAAATAATATAATACTTGGGCTACAGTACTTCACGTCCCGCTCATCCACGCAAAGTGTACGGAAGGCAGGCAACCACGATCGTTTTATGATGTGTCTCCAAAGGTTCCAAATAATGCTCAACATTTATTATGAAAAAATTTTGGAGTGAGGCTGGGAGGGTAAGGCCAAACTTGGGCCCCACCTCCTAATTTTGTAAAAAAACAAAAACAAAACAGCAACACAACTCCTGCTCTAGCAATGTCGCCTCCAACCGACAGGAAGCAATGGCCGATGGCGCTGATTGGGCCTGATTGGGCAACTGGGTCGCGTCACCGCCTTACCCTGCGCGCATGCGCGCCCCGATAAATGATAACGTGTGTCCGGGACAGGCAGCGCTGCGTCGGCCATTGTATTTTTGTACCTCATGAAAACTGAGTGCAGTGTTGCCGGGATGCTAGAGTGACAATCAGCGCACAATAATCATGCAAGTTCTATTCTGGCATCTTAAGTTCTAAATTTTAGCAAAAGTCTAAAATCGAGGTTTTCAAGTCTGATGCTTTTAAATTTGTTGTTCATTTTTTGCTTCACAACGGCAGTTTTCACAAGGTGAAGAAAGCAAAAATACATCGGTCGCGTGGCACACCTTTTCCGCAACCAGCGCCGCCGAGTGGTCTGTAGTGAGCTTCCGAGCTTCCCCATCCCGGCACAGGATGGCTCTGCTGTCACCGACGTGGCCGATCACCAGCTCGGCGCCCGCGCGCAGCAGGCAGACAGTAGCTGTAGTGCCGGGACTGTCTGCAGCAGACAGGCATCAGACATCAGACACTGATGGTGGCACCAAGACTGTCTGCAGCAGACATCAGATATCAGAGTGGTGGTGGTGTGGGGACTGTGCACCAGACACCACGCATCAGACAGTAGCTGTGGTGCCAGGACTGTCTGCAGTAGACATCAGACGTCACACAACACACAGGACAAAAGGTGCTGACGGGGCGGGTGGAAGGGCGACCCTTTTCAAGCCCACAGTTTTCCTGCCTAGCCGATGCACAGATCTGCCAGGAAGTTGACCACAACGTGACCGGGCTGTCACTGAGCCCCGCCCCCCTACGGGAATCAGGCTGCATTGCTGCACTCAAGTGCTGGAACTGTCTGTGACAGACATGGGTCAGTCATCCAATGTCGGACAGCACACAACAGACAGTGGTGATGGAGTTAGGACCACCTACAGTAACACCAAAAATCAGACAACACACCGTTTGGAAACGCTGGCAATGTTGCCAGCATGGTCTGCAGTAGACATCATACAGCACAACAGCTGGTGATGGTTGAAGAAGGGTGGCTGGCACATTGCATCAGATATTGTGCACGAAATCACTGACATGCTTTTGACCTCTGTCTCAAATTCTAATCCAAAACAATGCCTCGTAAAAATCACTACATTTTGGCAAACATGCTCTCTTCACGTGGGTTTAAGCTTTCAAATTTGCCGAGTCATCAGTGAATCGCACAGGTCCAATTAAGCTGCACGGTCTTAGGTGCCGTCTGATACCGATATAAGATAACATGGGGGTACCGACGCTGCCACGACTGTCTACAAAAGACATGCAGCAGACATCAGGCAGACAGTGCCAGTGGTGCCAGCACTGTCTGTGTCAGCCAGGTACGTCAGGCCACCAGACAGCGCGTGGGAGCGGTGCACGAGAGCACGAGCACCTGAGAGCACGTGGAAGCAGTGCACGAGAGTACGAACACCTGAGAACACGCAGGGACGGTGATGACGTCACTGCCGCAACACACAAGATGCCTACAACAGACGGTAGTGGTGGCACTAGGGATGCATGCAATACACTATAGGCATCAGACAACAGTCAGATATACAGTAGAGGTCATGCTAGCACAGCACACAGCATACAGAGAACAGCTAACACATCAGACTACACAGCTGACACGGCAGACAGTGGTCCTGGTGCCTGCACTGCCTGCAGCGGATAACACTGGCAGTGTCAGTGGTGATGGGACATTCCGCTGCAGTCAGCACAAAAGAGAGAGCACAAACCAGGCAGACTACTGGCGCCCGCACCAACCGTCACGACAGTTCGCGCAGGGCAGGCGTAGGAACGAAGCCAGACCCATGGTTTCAAAGGCGAATCCAAAGCCAAGACGGTGACAGGAGCCGAGGTCGAAGCTAAAATCAGCGCCTTCGGACTTAAGAAACGCGAAGCCATAGCCAAAACCAATCAGTTTAAAATCCCGAGGCTGAAACCGGAGCCAAGTCTAATGTACTGAGTAGCTTTGCAAAACCTACGCCGACCGACCAAACCGAACCCGAACCCAACCAACACAAGAAACCCCGGACGTTCGAGGTCCACTTTCAGACATTGTGGGACCACTGGCAGACAGAGGGGACTATGCAAACAGTTTTTTTCTGAGTGACACTTGCGGGCCTGGCCTTATCCTCGCTAAGAGATTAAAGAACACCACCCCCCAGGCAGACATGGAGCCGACTTTTCCGTTATGTTGGTCTGCCACCGACATAGAGGCCCGCATTGTTCCAGGGGCCCCCGATCAGCACAAGGAGGCCTCTGACTGACGTCTAGAGGCCCGGCACTGCGGGCCGGGGTCCCTTAATACGACCTCCAGTCAGCCTTTCGGGCTCTCCAATGAAGCCCTTGATCGCCGGTACCAGAATGCTCTGGTGATCTAAGGGGGCCCCAAGCCCACCACCGTCCCCGCCCCTGCCCCGCCTCCATGTTTTGTAAATTGAGCCGCAATTGCCACATGACACAAAATAACCACGACCAAGCCGGAGCCAACATTGGTTACATTGCCAATACGCGGCGTGTCAAGCTCTGCTTGTGATTGTGAGTGAAACAAACGTTGGGCAGGGGTAAAGAAATAACTACACTTAAAATGAAGACATGTGAATCCCCTAATATAACACAACTGACTTTTGCAATAACAAATTATTACTAAACAGATCAAATTCTCAGAATCAAAGCAGACACCGCCATAAAATAGCTCAAGAGTGATCAGCTATCTGAGGTCGAACGAACACCACGCGAGGCTCTAATGTCCGCGATACCTAATAATCATGATAACGTGATGCTCGGTACGGGTCATTTTTTATTTGACTTGATGTTTATTTTCGATTATGGATATTGGATATATGGATATAGAGCAGCATATAATGATGAGTGGATTGGCGCATAAGCGGAACGCTTAAATCCGAGCGCCCCTCCTAACAATAACAAGATATGGTCATCGCCGCCAGGGAACCCACGACACACCGCCCACCCGCCCGATCTGTAAGCCGCCGCGGGCCAGGCGCCCGCCGCCGTTCCTGTCCACACATATAGCCGTCTCGGGCCGGTGGCGGACGTCCGGCCCGGCAACGCCATCCAGTTGCTGCCCGTCTGCTGCCCGCGCCCCTAGAAGTTTTTTTTAGGCGAATCGTATGGTCTGAAGAATAAATGTTTGGAAAATTTTTGCTATCTGCTGCCTATTGTGATCCTATAAACCGCTACCTCTGAGGCAGATACTTGTTGCTCGTTGTCAGTGAGCTCAGAAAGGTTTGGAATGATACGATCTGTTGTACATAGCATTGCAATTCGGATTTCATGACAGCGAGCACAGTTCAGTATAAAGTGTTCAGGGTCTCCATTTGGATAGCCACACAAGAAAGAGGGACTAGGTGCAGTTGTGGAATTCTAGTCATCTAGTCATTAGTCATCGTGAACTTCCGAATTAGCCGCCTGAATTTGGTGCAGTCCTTAGCGTAGCACAATGCATCGGGTGTTAGGGTACGGGGGCTCGAATTATCTCTTACTTTTGACATATTTTGTGCCAGGGTCTGCCACAAGATCAAGATAAAGAAGATCTGGATCTTGTAGATCTGGATCTGAGGATCTGGATCTGGATCCCGCAGTTCCAGAAAAAGTTTCTAGATTAATGTTCTTGGTTTTCCAGTGTTTTTTTTTTTTTACTGAACCTTGCTCAACCATGTAAACTCGTGATCATAAGCACAGTTTGAAATACCGACTACCTTCAATCTGCATGCAACAATATTTGCTTTATAACGCCGTTTGACCAGTACTTCCTGGTGCATTGAAGGTCCATAACTAAGAACCGGCACTCTGAACTCACAACGCCGAAAAGCGAAGAGCTGAGGTTTTTCTTGCCTGTATCAAACCGAAGTCTGTAGTTCGATGTCACACGAAGCTGAAACCGTAGCCATAATTTGAAAATTGCTAGAAGCCGAAGTCGAAGCCGAAACCGCGGCCAGCTATTAAAAACAACACAAAAGGCGATGCCCGAACTAAAGCAAACCAGGGGCAATCACTTAAAGTCGAAGCCAAACCCGAGGCCATTGGATGAAACCCGCCGCTTCGTCCCACGCCCGGGCAGGGAGTGTCTGCAGAAGACCACATACATCAGATTGGTACATAAAAATTGGGTTCCAATCTGTGCAAGAACAAATGCTGCCGGAACAGGACATGGCAGGATCTCCCACACTGCGAGCTTACAGCATGACTGTAGGTCCTCAGTACCGCACGTTCACAGAGAAAGATCACTCCCGATCCAATGCCGAGCTTTTAACATTCCTTGCATGTCAACGCATGTCACAAAACGCATGGCTGACGTGAACCCGTTGTCCAAACAAGTGCCAATCTCATGCACAGACAAATCAAGTTCAACGCTATATAAAAGTATGTACAGCACTATCTCAATATAACATGAGCAGACGCGCTCAAAAACCGTGCTTCGCCCCTGCCCTCTACCGGTGGGACATAGTTTTCCACACAAATCCATGCTAAACAAGGCACATGCTAAAACAAAGCCATTCCCCTCGACGCGTCCACAACGCCTCGACGCGCCCTCGGTACCGACCGGCGGCCCCGTGGCCCCTCTGCCACTCCGCAGCGAACTGCCGGTTGAGCGCGGGGAAGGTCCCGTGCAGGATGGCCATGAGGTTCCTCTCTCCCGCAGCGATCTGCTCCTGGTGACAGACAGACGGACGGAGATTGAGCACAGCAGAAAGTGGAGGGGGAGGGGGCTTTTCAGTGGAGTGGCGAGGGCAGGGACGACTGCCGGCTGCCCTGTTGTTGGCAGTAAACTTAAAGTCACACCAAGGGAATTTCTTGCAGACAAGCAAAAAATCGCCTGTGTCGCTATCTGCTCTTCCCAAATCCTCAGCCGGCCAACCCATACTGCTGCCCGCGGGAAGGGTGTGGTGGGACCCATACCCCAAGCCACTTGACCTGTCACGGTGGCTGTCTGAACCGCTCATGTATCGCCGTTGCTGTCTGAACCGCTCATGTGTCACCGTGGCTGTCTGAACCGCCCATGTGTCACTGGCTGTCTGAAGCGCCCATGTGTCGCCGTGACTGTCTGAAGCGCCCATGTGTCGCTGTGGCTGTCTGCACTGCTCATGTATCACCGTGTCTGTAAGAACCGTTGATGTGTCACCGTGGGTGTCTGAGCCGCTCATGTGCCACTGGCTGTCTGAACCGCTCATGTGTCACCGTGGGTGTCTGAACCGCTCATGTGTCACTGGCTGTCTGTACCGTTTATGTGTCACCGTGGGTGTCTGAACCGCTCATGTGCCACTGGCTGTCTGAACTGCTCATGTGTCACCGTGGCTGTCTGAACCGGTCATGTGTCACCGTGTCTGTAAGAACAGTTCATGTGTCACCGTAGGTGTCTGAACCTCTCATGTGCTACTGGCTGTCTGAACTGCTCATGTATCGCCGTGGCTGTTTGAGCCGCTGATGTGTCACCGTGGCTGTCTGAGCCGCTCATGTGTCACTGGCTGTCTGAACCGCTCAAGTGCTACCGTCGCTGTCTGAACCGTTCATGTCTCACCATGGGTGTCTGAACCGCTTATGTGTCACTGACTGTCTGAATCGTTCATTTGCCATCGTGGCTGTCTGAACCGCTCATGTGTCACTGGCTGTCTGAATCGTTCATGTGTCACCGTGGCTGTCTGAACCCCTCATGTGTCGCCGTGGCTGTCTGAGCTGCTTATGTGTCACCTTGGCTGTCTGAAGCGCTCATGTGTCACCGTGGCTGTATGAACCGTTCATGTGTCACCGCTGGTGTCTGAACCGCTCGTGTCTATGCAAAATGTGGAATGCATCGCAGAGGAAAAGTTTAATGAAGTGCCTTCCACATTCCTGGAAACGAAGGAGCCGCCTCAGAACCGAAGTTCCGCAGCACACTACACTACGCGCTCATATCACGAAAAAATCCCGGAAATTAAAAAAGACCTAGCTATTACACCGCCTCCCTCTCAAGCATAGTCTTTACACGACCTCGAACATATGTACGCCCTCGTTGTGAGCACATGACACGACCCGAATGTTTCGTGTCGTTCGTTTCGTTTCGTCGCAATTTGTTGGAGGGTATACAACTTACGACGTTTTCAGAATCCATGGATTCAAGTGTACATTCGCTGCAGCGTACCGATCGAAGCGGCCCATGTAGTGTTCTGCACTAATGCAGCGAGAATGAAAGCATCCTGAACCAGCTGTTCGGCCAAGTATCTGTGCCACGGAGACCGACCGCGCCACCGCTCACCCCGTCCCGTCCGCTAACACCGTCCCGCAGTGCTCTCCCTGCCCCACAGCAATTACCCCTCCCCGAAGTGGTCACCCTAACCCGCAGTGCTTTCCCTACCCCGAAGTGCGCACCCCAACACAAAGTGATCACCCTGCCCCAAAGTGGTTGCCCTAACCGAAGTGCCCGCTCTGACCCGACGTACTCACCCTGCCCCAAAGTGCTCCTCTCACCCGAAGAGCACTTTGGGGCAGCCCTTGCCCGAAAGCGCTCGTCCTGCCCCAAAGTGCTCTCTGTGCCGTCTGCTCACCTGCACGATGGGCACGAGGTGCTGTGAGCAGAACTGGCTACACTCGGCCCCGCCGTGACCGTCCAAGATGGCGGTCAACAGGAGGTCCGGAGCCACGTCCGCCGCCACGCAGCGGTCCTCCTGGTAGCGACGCTTTCCCTGCCGCGCAGACATGGCAACTCGACACGGACCAAGCTGAGGTATCGACGCAGATTGTGGTATGTGGGGCTGGTGGAGCGGGGGAGAGGGAGGGGGCATCGGTAAAAAAATGCCGTGATGTTCCCTGCGTTGGGCGTTTCTTCATGGATGTCGTGCAGCGATCAAGGCGGCGAAATGCGAACCGAGAAAGAATTGAACGCAAGACCCGCCGGTCTCGGGACCGGTAGTTTTTGCTGTGCCGATTTGGTTCTGTAGTACTCGCACACCACAGCCATGGAAACCTTGGCAGCAGGGGCAGGGATCAGAGCGCCGGGTCAGCCTGTAGGCAACCAGCACTATGCTGGTGTTTTACGTGCTGCATAATAGGAAAACGAATGTGCCGCAGATAACCAGCACTACGTAAGATAAACGAAATCACGATGACGGATAAAAATAACTAACAGATTCTAAAACCAACGCACGCAGGCACGCGAGCATCACTCAGACCACCACACACCAGATTCCACCGTTTGCAAATCACTCATACACAAGTCGTGCCTCTGAAACCCAGCCATGTCTGTTAAAATGCACACGCAGCGTAATTTGAAGTTATGAAACTGAGCGCACAAAATTCTTATTTTGTGTGCTGAGGCTGCGACCGAGGCTATATGAGTGCACAGAGCAGGTCAGCGTCCCAGCTCCAGACCACAGCCTTATCCTCCACCTTTTACACCTTTAAATCCGAGCTTTCACTGACCAGCCCCTGGTGGGGAGCCCAATACACTGAAAGGACCTAAGTTCACGGAACTAAGCGTGGACCAGGTGCATTTTATGCTTGCTGCCTGCTGCACTTCGGTTAACTAACCCAAATCGGCGGGAAGAACTGCGATGCTCTAGGACCAAAGCGGTTGGCTTCATTCGACACCTTGACAGGGAAATTAGAACCATTCCCAGCACGCCCGTATCTGTATACCAATAGTGAATCCCGGGTCCCACGGGTCCTTTGCTGTAGAACATAGGTACAATAAGTCACATCCTTTTGTTGGTCACGTAAATCTCTAACGTCCCGTGCCTGTATCTGGCGAATGGAGGCGCCCATGTGGCGTGCACACTGGGCATGCCATCAGAGTTGCGGATAGAAAGAAGCATGCCTAGAGCCCACACCTGCGGACACTGAAGGGCCCAATACGTGGACTGGGGATGTCACCAGGATACAAGCACAGAGCCAGTACCTGCACACCTGGGGTTGCCCACAGGTCTCTGGAAATATCTCCCAGCCCTAAGGCTCTGGCATTCACCAGGTGTTCATCAGTGGCCAGCACGTCCAGAACCCGTACCTGCAGACTCGAGATGCCCACGGCCGGCGCGTCGATGCGTGGAATCGGCTTGCCGTGCTTGATGCTGGAGCCGAGCGCCAGCGGAAGCTCCCACCGAGAGTCCCATGTGCCGAAGCTGTCAAAATCGGCCGGCGGCCGGTCCTTGGTGGCGCCCCTGGCAGCGGCCCGGTGCACCAGCCGGCGCGACGTCACCAGGGCACGCACCAGCTGGTGCTGTGCTCGCAGGCCGCGTCCACAAGTGGCAGCCAGCACCAGCAGCGGGGATGCCATTGGTGCTGGTGCTGTGCTGGATCCTGGCTGTGCTCCTGATACCAATGTCCTTGTGTTCCTGGTTCCTGATCACACTCAACACTTGGCCAGCTGACAATTTGCTGCCAGAAGATGGCAGGCAGCAGTTGCTAGATGCAAACCAGGAGGTGCAGGAAGCCTAGGCAGTGATGCCTGCACAGAAAATGGATGCAAGAAAGACTTCAGTGCATCTTTAAGGAAATGGTATAGTCCAAACTTCTGTCAGGGTGAGACTTAATTAGAGGTGCTTGTGACTGCCTGGAAAATAATGATGCCCATGTTACTCTCCAATCTCCAGACTTTTAGATGAAATGTGGTGCACTACTGTTTGACTGAAACATGACATCAATCTCAGCAAACAACACACTAGCCCTTAGTTAGAGTTGTTAAGAAGTCTGGAATGTCACAACAATTGGAAAAATCTGCCTGCTCCCCTACAATACCCTGAACTTGAGCTGCCACCCCTAGTGACCACAGCCCATCCCAACCAAATGCAAATTTTGAGCACCAAACAGGCTCAAACCCACTTATTCTGCCATGGGTGTGATTTAAGGCAATATAATCCATTGGGTGATGGGAGCAGACAAACTAACTAATTTCCCTCATGCCTACGAACCATGGGCATGCCACATAAATATACCAAGAATCATAAAGGGGTGCAAATGTGTCAGAAGACAAATTTACTGCTAAGTGTTACAGCAGTGCAGTTGTATGGAAAACTTCGAGCTACGCAGCTGTCTTCCATGCTTCAAAGAGCATCTCAGATATTGAAGGCACCATTACCAATTTTGAAGTCCATTCTAACAATGCGCCGCCGGAGGATTAATGCTCAGCATTCTGGAAAAGTGGGGGTGCCACGCCACCCGCCCATGAACCGCTCCGTCCCACACCTTGGCTTCGAAAAGTGGCATAAGTACCTCAAAAGGATAAAATACAGCACGACACGACATGTCTGCCAATTCTTGCACCTTATAGTTCCAAACTGTGGGGTAGTAGAAAAACTGCGACACTGTAAATAATACTAACGTGAAAGCTACACAAAACACGGATGGCCTTGATTTGAAGCACAATAACAGCGCACCTGCGGCGAGGTATGGCGAGCAGCAGCTACCAAATTGACCGGCGCGCATCATTCACGCTTCATGTGCCGCTTTAGACGGCCACATTGCTGCAGAACCGAATGGATCATGATAATGCTACAAAAAACGATCACGGACGCCAAATTTCAATGTCTGACATCACCTGGCTCCCTTGGCTCCCAGACCGTAACGATTCGACCTGTATGCGATATCGATTACCATGTCCGCGCACGGCCGCACATTCCACCGAGACTCCCGTTCTCTTCGTGAGTACGGAACTTCAGTCGCCTTGCAATGATCAGTGGTTTGGTAATTTAAGAACTTGGGCATGCCCCTGTTTCCTTTAATCTCGCAAGGTGGTGGGAAGTGTGGTTGCACACCCTTTTAGCCCCCTCCGTACACCCAGACGTGACCAAGCCCTTCCCACACCTCGAGTAACAGCAGCTTCAGTAGCGCATGCAACAACGCAAACACGGAAACAACCCGGGCGCGTTAACTAGCAACAATCAACAGCTGACGGTCCAGGCTAGAGCGAGCAACATTCCCACCGCTCCTCGTTTTGGGATTGCTCGCGTTCTTCAACCCCACCATGCGTACATCCAATAAAAAAAATGCTCAATCAGCTTAATACAAGCCGGTGCGTTCGAATCACGATCCAGTTCCAGAACAGCTCAAAGCACTTGGATTTTATTCACGGAGACGCGGCGCTTCAACGCGCGACGCAGGAGCGCCCGCCCGACCAGCAGGTCACGCCGGAAAGCACTTCCGCATAACACCCGGGCGGCTTAAGATGTGTCACAAATCGGCATCCAGCAGTTACAGCCTGGTGAACGCGTTCGATTACCATGGACAATAACAACTCCATCACAATTCAACCCACAGGGATTACGGCTGAAGAGGGGTGCGAGGATACCAGCACATGCCTTCAGCTTCTAGCAGTTCCCCAGGCAAGATCGCGAGGGGGACGAATTTGTGCTTTGCCGCGTCAAGCAATTAAAAAGGTACGTAGTAGAAGGGTCAAAACTCAGCTAAGCAATGATAAAAGCGATGCGTTAACTCGCCAAGTCAACACTGATTGCGGACGAAAAAACACGATACTTAAAACCAGTGGTGGCAACTGTGCGAACAACCAGTCTAAAAATATGATATAGGGGTCCGCATGTAGGGCTGCACCACCCCCGCCGCGGTAAGACGGTTCAGCCACCTGTCATATGAAGACATCGGGTGATTATGCAAGCCAAATCCCGCGGAGGAAAGCCGTCTTCCAGGCGCTTGTCTACAGTACATAACACAGCATAGGCATAGTCACGTGACATGCGGCGTCATAATTTGGCACACGTCGTGACTAGAGTGTTAGCGTCGTTTCCAGCGTGTCGTTTTCTGGGACAAAAGGAAAACGCTGCGGAGTCAATCCACCGCAGTTAGCGACAGAGTACTGCATAGAGCATCACGGCTGGTGGCTGGACGTGACGGCACAAGGCGGGTGGCGTGTGAGCGACGACAGACACGCATTAGCCCATCTCGGCTGGTGCGCCGCGTTAGAAGATTGCCGCAAGCGCCGCGCGGAAGCCTTTGCGGGCCTCGGCGGGGTCAGGGACGGGGGCAACGGCGATGGCGGGAGCGGTGGCGGACGGAGGAGCAGGCCAAGTCGCAGCACCCACAGCCAACAACGGGCACCATCCGGCGCGGAATGTGTCATCACCAACGACCCGACCACCACACATCCCCGGCGACTCCAGCACCACATATCCCTGACGACTCCAGCACCACTGAAAGTGCTCTGAGTCATATTGAGAGTGCATAAGAGAATGCAGTACTAGGAGTGCTCGGACTCCCGGTACCACGTGGACTCGGGACTCCCGGTACCAACCAGACTCGGGACCCCCGGTACCACATGGTCTCGGGGCGTCGACACGCGCGCGGGTCCGCGCCCGCCCCCGCGCTCCCTCCGACGACCGGCGCCGGACCATGTGGAGCCGTCGAGCCGCGCGCCCGCCCAGCCGACAGCAACAGCGGTGGAGCCACTTGGGCTCAGGCCAACCGAGCATGCTTGCTGCGCGCACGCGCTCGGCACTTCACGGTGCGGGGCGGCCCAACCGGCGAGCAAAGCGAGCGGGACCGTGCGTTTCAAGCTCACAGCGCAGTGAACGCAGTGAACGCGCGGAGGCCGATCGCCGCCAAGCGTCGTTCCCGGGGCTGTTGGGCCAAGCGCGGCACGCGGGCGCACAGGTGAGTTGAGACAAGCAGGCCAACGGACTGGCCGAGAGCTCCCATGCGATAACAGGCCGTGAGCGCCCCTGATCGGGCGGGCCCCGCATGGGGTGCCGCCTCAGGAAGCGGCGATCGCTGGTGTCTAGAAATTTGGAGCCGCCCCGTGCAAAGAAGCGTCCTGAATTTTGCACTGAAGCACGATATCTTGGGTCACAGTCCGTCTAACATACAGCATAAGTCGCGCAGGAAGGCAAAAAGGCGACCGCCAACCGGAATCAACGAGCATCCCGACGGACAGCGCCCCAGCACATGCAAACGCGCCAGCCCACGAACACACACCATTGCTTCTTTTCACGAGCCCTGACATTCGTAAAGCAATGTAAAAACTATCGTCTTATGGCACGTGGTCCGGACCCCCACGCAGAAGGCACCGCTTCGAAGAGTACAGTCTTTGGTCCGGAGCAGAAGCGTTGTGGCAGCCGTTTCAGATCCTTCGCTGATTGGACGAACGAGCGCACCATTCCAGACGCTGTGCCACGATACGCGCACCGACGGCAGCGCCATCCAGTGACTACTTAAGGAAGTTCCAGTCTATCGGGTCGCGTCAGGGTGACGGGGCTGGCTCAGTGGACTGCAGCACCTGGCTGATCCTGTCGATGAGAAACGCGCCTGAAGCCGGAGCCACAAGAAACAAGGCATTTTCACAACAGAATGACAACAATCTAATGACAGGTGGCAACGAAGCCAACAAAATTGACAGTCTGGATACAGGAGGCCAGCACAAGTGGGTCTTCAAAGAGATGGAGGGGCAGACCAGTCTTGAACCGCCTTATTTTGCACGCGGTTGTCACAAGCCTGACGTCAGCTTTCTCCATACATAGGGCTGATATTCCATACGTCTTCACCCCCGTATCCCAACACGCAGGTGACAAGGAGCATGTTGGGACTGTGATAGGCACTGCTCACATGTATGTGATCAGCTGAATGCATGTATACAACCATGGACATCTACCAGTGTGCACAACCACTAACCAGCATACCTCTATTCCATGCATACTACACCATGCCGCACAGTGACACCATTAAGTTGACAATTATAAAACAAATAATTGCCTACTCGAGTTTCTTTCCCACGGCTCAAACAGTGAAAGAACGCAGCAAGGATCGCAAACCACCCTAACGGTGCCTAAAAAGGTTAACAATGACAAAGCTAAGAAAATCGCGCGAATACATTACGGCCCCTGGCAATGTCCGCAGGTGCTGGCCCAAACCACACAACCAAAACAGAAAACGCAACATCTCGCTACCACGCGGGAAGCCACGCCCACCCAAACCCATCTGCCACCAGCGCCCCTCCTCACTCTGCGTGTAGGTTGAGGTTCTCCGAGACGGCCGTCAGATGTCTCTAGCGTCGCGGAGTCCAGCAGGTTGGCCAGCGATACTACCTCTGCGTCGGCAGCGGGCAGAGCTTCCGGGGCGTGGCCTGACAAAGAATATTCTGCTGACCTTAAGGCGTCCCGTTAATAGGCAACAGCTTGTGCAAACAAACGTGTGCAACCTTCAAAAGTCGTGTACTGAATGCAACTACCATATGTCTTGCTACGATGTCTGGGGCCTTTAAAACGTTTTGCCACATAATTCCACAGGCCACTTTATCTGTGGGAACGCGCCGGGGCTACTTAACATATTGGCAAAATTCGTGGAGGATTTTCGAGGCCACTGTCAGCCAATGACTCCTTAAACTAAAAAACTACTGAAACTACAAAAAACTACTGGTGCACAACACAGCCACCAAATTCGCAACGACCACAAATAGCATTAAGAGGTGACGGTTACACATTACTCGTGAGGCTTGCGTGCCGGTCTGTAACTGCTCTGACTGAGCATGCAATAAGCCGTCGTTTAAACCGCGAGGGGCTTGGATGATGATTGGAGTTTTAGGGTGCGCCGACCCCGCGATGGTCATTACGCGCCCACAAGGCAGGACAGTCCTCGAAACACATCCCAGTCAGGCGCTCGGGCGACACCAGACGAGCGTTCCTTTTTACCCCTCCCCGCCACGCGCTCCCCGCGGCCAGTCCGCCGGCGTCGCCGCACCGGCGCCACCTACCGGAGACCTCCGCACTGTCTGAGACGACCGTGGAGGCGGTGCGGCCGGACGCGCTGCTAGCGTTACTGGGCGGCAGGGCAGCGCTCGCGTGAAGCTGCGAACAGAGCGGTGGCTTTATTATTACAAGAAGTCTAATAAGTCTACTATTGTAATATGTTTTCTCTCCAGTTATCACGTGCAGTGACCGAACGCATTAACTCCCCTGCTGCCACACTCGCGACATACTCGCATAATTGAATAATAACTTACATGCCGATAAATCTTAACGCATACGCCCGCGTGTGGCGCGAGCGTTTTCGTTCAAGAAGGGCTCTAGGTCGTGCTAAATCGTAACCAGCCGAGGTGCCTGCGTGTTTCCACGACAAATACGTGAAGACATACAGGGCCGCGTCCCGAAACGGCTTGGGATGTGCCTCCAGAAGCCATCCCCTAACACGGCCGCTAAGACGCTAGCATAACATGTCATGAAGAGACGACAGCCCACACACGCCAACTCCAGCGACGCAGCTTGGCAATGCACGCGGGGTGGACTAAGACGGTGCTTTCGTCGACACCATGGCCGCACAGGGGTCAAGAGCTTCGCGTTGGAAGTTCGAGACAGGACTGTGAAGATCCAAGTTTCCGGTTTCACTTCACCGTTTTAACGCGCCGCTTCGAACGCTGGCCCAGCTCCACCACCATCAAACGGGCGTCCGTGGTGGGCCCCGGCCAGCCGCGCGGCTGGGAGAGCTCGTATCACAGACGCAAGGTCCAGGGTTCGAGCCTGCTTCCCCCTGCCGAACGTTTCATCGTCCCCGCCGTAGAAAAACGGCGTGGGATGATTTCGACGCTTAGCAACCTGGACCGTCCAATGCATCGCCAGACCTCAATGAAATCAACAGCGCTCAGCGCGCCCAGTGCTCTGGCACCGCTGCTCTCCGGACCCCGTTCCCAATACACGTGTTCAAACAACCCCTACCCATCATCAAGCAAGGGTGGCCGCAGCGTTTTGGGAAGGCAGATTTTGTATTCCAATTTTTGCGGGTCGAATGCACATCCTTACTTTTCCCCATTCAAAATGTTCATTTCAAGTCAGAATGTCACGCCCAGTCTCCAGTTGGGCCGCCGCCATCCCCATTCGTCCCTGATTTGTCCCCAACCTCAGAGACGTGGTCGCACCCGTGGATGCATGCGACAACTCGCGGCCGTTCTCTCACCACAGCTCCATGAACTTCCAGATCTCGCTCTGGCGCTGCTTCTGATAGCGCGAGATGAGGTCCAGGCCCGGTGCACACCATCGATGGCTTCTGACAGCGGCCGCGAGAGCTCGTCCACCTCCCGCTGGATCGCCTGCTGTCGCCTGCGCGGCCGAGGCACGCTCGCATCACCGAGTCATCACCGGCATCATCACCGGATCGTCACCGACATCACCGGATCACCAGGATCATCAACGGATCGTCACGGCGTTATCACCATGCCATCATCGGATCATCACCGGATCATCACCAAATCATTACCGGATCACCATCAAATTATCACGGCATCGCCACCAAACCATCACAGCATCATCACCGAATAATCACGGCACCATCACTGGACCACCACGGCGTTATCACAGCGTGATCCCACTGCATCTGCGAGGCTCCCGCCGCCGCCCATGTATCACTGCCGTGATCCCGCCACTGGCTGTGTGAGTCTCCTGCACGCCCACCCAGCCAGACCACGCGCACGCGAGTTTGCGCTGTCGCCTGCAGTGCCGACCAGGGCAGACGAGAACGACGAGGCAGCCATGCGACCGCCCGCCCCCGGTGCCGTGTCGGCTGCCCACCAGACGACACGGATCAATGGACAGCCACACGGCCACTGGACAGTCACACGGACCACTGGACAGCCACACGGTCACACGGATCACTGGACAGCCACACGGTCACACGGATCAATGGACAGCCACACGGTCACACGGATCACTGGACAGCCACGCGGACACTGGACAGTCACAGGACCACTGGACAGCCACACGGGCCACTGGACAGTCACACGGACACTGGACAGTCACACGGACCACTGGACAGTCACACGGACGCTGGACAGCCACACGGACCACTGGACAGTCACACGGACACTGGACAGCCACCCATGGACAGTCACACGGACCACTGGACAGCCACGGGACCACTGGACAGTCACACGGCCACTGGACCGGTCACACGGACCACTGGACAGTCACACGGACCACTGAACAGTCACACGGCCACTGGACAGCCACACGGACCACTGGACAGTCACACGGACCACTGACAGCCACGGACCACTGGACGACCGTCACACGGCCACTGGACAGTCACGGACCACTGGACAGTCACAGCCACTGGACAGTCACACGGACCACTGGACAGTCACACGGACCACTGGACAGTCACACGGACCACTGGACAGCCATGCGAACAGAGGTGATCACGAGCAGCGCTATAGTCGCGTTCGGGTAAACTGGGAGACTAAACCACGGTACAGCTCCCGGCGTGCTTGTCCTCTGTATCGCCGAACATCCGATAACTCGGCGATAACATCCGATAACTCGGCGACGCGCCGACGGACCGGTTGGGTTACACACAGCGGACGATGCCGTAGCGGCCGATTCACATGCACTCTCGTCACACACCGCCAGTTCACGGACACACTCTCCACACACCGCCAGTTCACGGACACACTCTTCACACACTGCCAGTTCACACACACTCTCGTCACATACCACCATTTCACGCACACTCTCGTCGCACACCGCCATTTCACGCACACTCTCGTCACACACCGCCAGTTCACGCACACTCTCGTCACACACCTCCAGTTCACACACACTCTCGTCACACACCGCCAGTTCACGCACACTCTCGTCACACACCGCCAGTTCACGCACACTCTCGTCACACGGCGCTAGTTCACACACACTCAGCACACACCGTCAGCCAGCGAACGACCATTCCAGCAAGCGGCTCTGCACCCCGAGATTCACCACACGCGGACGTGCGTGACAGGACGTGCCGTGCCGTGCCGTGCCGTGACCCACTGACCCGATCACGCGGTACAGCTCGGCGAACGGCTCGCTCCTGTTCCGGATGAACTTGGCGACGATGCGGATCATTTCGGCGTTGCTCGTGCGCTGGCCGCGCTGCTCCTTGGGCCGGCGCCGGTGGGCCTCGTACACCTCGCACGCCTTCTCATAGCTGGGGGAGAGGGGAGGGGAGGGGTCAGTCCTGGCTGCGAACGGCGGGTGGCGCTGGAGCGAGCGTACGCCGTGGGCCTGGTCTTCCCGCCGCCAGCGCTGTGAGATTGGTGAGAGCTGTGCGGTATTGACGACGGGCCCGCGAAACCCGTGCTTTTCCCCATGCAGTAGGGGTAGGCGTGACCACTGCTAGGACGCGGTGAAACCGCGGTTTAAACCGGCCGCCAGCATCGCCTGGTAGTGCAGTCCGCCCTCCGATTGTGCGTGAGCGTTCATGGCGGCCAAGGCCCGGGGTCTACAGAGGCCACACCCCAGCAGCGGCTGCTGCGAGGTGCACCGAACAATCTCTCACGCGCCACCTGGCCAGGCGTCCCCCCCCCTCCTAAAGTATAGAGCACCCGCGGGTGGTGGCCGGCTTAAGGCGCGTCTACTTCTCTGCCTCGCAGCGTCTGGCATACCAAGGCAACAGTGGTTGAGTGAGTTGGGCTCGGAGTTGGGAGTGAGTCGACTTGAGAGTTCTCACTGACGATAATCGACCCTCAATATACCAGGCGGCAATGGCTACACGGAGCCCTCGAGCAAACGTTTGCTACATCGACAAACTGACAGCACTGCAACACCAGCACACCAATCGCTGCGCAAAACAACGCAGGACGACAGCGCGACGCTAGCGCCGCCCATGACACTCACAAGAGCCCGAAGCCATCGGGCTTCTGCCGGTTGCCAGGCACGCGCTGCAGCTCGGTGCCGCGCCGCGTGACGTCACGCACAGCCGCCGTCAGCTGCTGCACGAGTTCGTGGCTCTGGTGGTGGCGCCGCCGCACTTGCTCACCCGCTTGGCGCCACGTGCCGTATACGCGGGCCGATGCTGAAGTAGAAGTGCAGACGGTCGGGGTAGATGGCGACACGTCCGGGATGACACGGGTGAAGGGCGCGAATGCTCATGTTTACTGGATGACGGGGACATCAAGCTTACGGGCATGTTTCGTAAATTAGCAACACCAGAGTTTTAATCTGATGTATTTCGCGTATTCAAAGCTTCCACATAGCTCATAAACGCACATAACACAAACAATGGGCACAAACCTACGGCCATGCGCGATGGAGGACACGGTAAGAAGTGCACCATCTTCCAAATTACATCTTAACAACAGCGCAACGGTCAAATAAGTGCCTGTCCATACCGCTACTACGACCACAGTCAGCACACCGCAGCAGCAACTGCGCTCCTGACAATTTCCCGCGGCGGAAATCGAGCCCTTGCCAGCACCACGCACTCACTGACGCCGCCGGCGGCCGCCTGCCGGCTGTAGTTCTCATCGTCCCACCCGAGCGAGGCGTGGAACAGCTCGGAGGAGGCCTGCAGCCGCGCCAGGTCACAGGTCATGCGCTCGCTGAGCCGCGTCAGCCGCGACATGGTGCCGGCCAGCGACATCCTGTCAGAGGTCAGACCATCCCATCAGAGGTCAGCACATTGTCAGAGGTCAGCACATCCTCTTAGAGGTCAGGTCAGAAGCCTGAAAATCCCAGAGGTCACTTCAAAGGTCGTGTCACGGAGTCAGCCGGTCAGTAGGCCGGCGCCACGAGAGCCAGCGCCACGAGCGCCACCCTGCCGCGCGACAGTCGAGTCAGGCATTGGTGAAGGTCACACAGGTTGTCTAGGTCATCATCTATCATCTAAGTCGTCTCTGACCTGTCGTGACATATGGTCTGATGACCATCAAGCTGACCTCACATCATCTCAGGTAAAAACAATGCATAATTGGAGGTTCGTCATTTCCAGTTCCTATACACCAGCTGCTGCCGTCAAAATCAGCCACTGGCTTCTACAATCTGCGGCACACCAGCCAGCGTGTTAATCACACGCCACATTTCATAGACGGGAGAACACGGCACGGGTTCCCTACATGTGGACGTGCTGCGCCTTCTGCAGTAGTGACAGCAGTCTGGTCTGCTGCTGAATCAGGAAGACCGCCTGTCCGTACACTGCCCTCTGTCGGACACAACGCGAGATTCAGCTTACAAACGCGGATCGAGGGGGCCGGGATGCGAAACATAATGAGCACAATCAAGTTGAAGACAACGGCATGGAAATAAATGATATGAGGCCTGCTTCGGTATAATCCAGCACAGCAATCTGCATTTTGTGGCGATGATATATGCTAACGTGGCAAGACAATGCGTACATATCCAGCAAAACATGACTCAGCCATATTTGTGAACTGTGTGAGGCTAACTGTTGGACCAGACCTATCGGTAGCGAGTGGACCAGTGTTCAGTGTCCCTGGCCTGACGTGCTGATAGTAGGCAGGCCGGTGATCCGTGTCTCTGACCTGACCTGAACTGCAGGTAGCAGGCGGACCGTGTTTTGTGTCTCTGACCTGACCTGACCTGTTGGTAACCGGCGGGCCGGTGTTCCGTGTCCAAGACCTGACCTGTCGCGCAGAAGGCGGGCCGGTGCTCCTTGTCCTTGACCTGACCTGTCGGTGGCCGGTGGGCCAATGTGTTCCGTGTCCCTGACCTGACCTGTCGGTGGCGGGTGCGCCAGTGTTCCGTGTCCTTGACCTGACCTGTCGGTAGTAGGCGGGCCGGTGTTCCGTGTCCTTGACCTGACCTGTCGGTGGCCGGTGTTCCGTGTCCTTGACCTGACCTGTCGGTGGCCGGTGTTCCGTGTCCTTGACCTGACCTGTCGGTAGTAGGCCGGCCGGTGCTCCGTGTCCTTGACCTGACCTGTCGGTAGTAGGCCGGCCGGTGCTCCGTGTCCTTCAGCATCTCGAGCACCAGTGGCGGCAGCTGAATGTCGGCCGAGCCGCCGCCCTCTGCGCCGGCCGCGTCGAACACGTACAGCACCCACTCGGTCTCCTCCTGTGTGGACGGCCGAGGGGGGGGGGGGCGTAGTGAGCTCACGCACTTTCAGGCGCTGACTTAGGGAACCGCCATCGCGATTGACTACTGAGCGAAACGTTCTAAAACATTCAAGGTTATAATCCGCAAAGTGTCGCAGGAATTTTCCAATGCTCCAAACTTTCCAAAATATCACGAAGGAATTTTCAACTTTTAAAACTTTCCTCGAAACCCCATTGGTTAGCACCTCTAGCATGTGCTACATGGTTTCACGACTTCAAGGTACACATACAATATCGTGAACATAACTCATTGCGGAAGATCTGCATGCCAATCTTCGGTCTCAGTGCGAGCTAGTGCAGCCAGCGGCCTAGACAATGAACCCATCTCCCGTCTTCCCTTCCCACGTGGGCATGCCGATCTTTGATCTCAGTGCGAGCTAGTGCAGCCAGCGGCCTGGGCACTAAACACATCTCCCCCTCCTCCTTCCCACGTGAGCATGCCAATCTTTTCGCGCCACAGCATCACATCGTGCTACGGACAGTTCAGACACGCACCGTACACACACACGACTCGGGCCACCCGCTGCGAGTCTGCCGCTGTCGGCAGAAGACAGGCAGGGGTCACCGACCTGCGGGCGCCCAGCACTGGAGCGCCGACTGGGCGGGCTGGTGCCGGGTCGGTCACCCCTGGGCAGGCGCAGGTCTTGGCGGGTCGGCTCGAGGCCTGTGCTGAGCTTTACAAATGCCTGCCGTGGAGGGGGGGGGGGGGGGCGGAGGGGTCAGTGGGGTCAGCTGGCACGGCGCCACGTTGACCCCGCCACGGTCATTAGGGTCAGAATGTGCGGACGCCGCGCACGTCAGCATGGTGGTTAGCTGGGTCAACACGCACGGGGACCGCATTCGTGACCCCGTCTGGGTCAATAAAGCGGTCAAGGTCATCACGACCAGCAATCTGAGCCTGGAGTTACGGTCCGGTCTCCAGGGCCCAGGCTATGTAGGGGGCAGGGACATCTGGTCCAATCGTCATTCTCATGCTCAGCTTCTCTCCTTGTTGGTTCACGGCCACTGTTTGTGCTCCCGTACATATGCAAGACGTTACAGTGCATCACCACATATGATCAGGTACTGAGTCCAGAAGGCTTGCAAGGTACACCACCTAGATTGTACGGTCCACAAACCCCCATCACGCCGACCAATCCACGAGGTTTCTCACTAGATTGTACGGTCCACAAACCCCCATCACGCCGACCAATCCACGAGGTTTCTCACTAGATTGTACGGTCCACAAACCCCCATCACGCCGACCAATCCACGAGGTTTCTCACCAGCAACGCACACCATACAGTCGGCCCGTAATGCCCAGCTGGCGTGCGACCAAACCCCGTGCCTCGCACATCCCAGGAGCTTGGTCCGCTGAGGAGCTGTGACCAGTCCGCCTGCCAGCGCTGCTGAATTCACAGGTTGGAGGGAGGAAAGCAGGAGGGGGAGGGGGAGGGGGAGGGGCATCACGCAGAACAAGGGCCCACGTGGTGTCCACGCTATTTAGCATGACTCACGCATGCACCTAGCAGATTATGGGGAGTTTGTGGCCACCACACCCATTTGTTTTTGCAAGAGGTTGCAGTGTAGCACCCTAATTACGGATCTAAGTCTGGTGCCTGGTAAAAGATAAGGGATCATTTTGTGTTATCCGTGCTGGCATTCAAACACATGACAACAACGAAGTCCAATGAGTCATATATAGAGCACAGATATACCCGACAAACATGAGAATCCGTGCAAACAGCAACGCCCTGCCTCTCATCCTCCCGCCGTCCCCTTCCACTCCGCCTCTCCACCACGACTACCCAGTCAGCCAACTCCCACACACACAGTCGGTCCCGGACCCCCCCCCCCCCCCCCCCCCACCCCCCCCACGCCTCCCCCTCCCAGTCACTCCCGCCCCCCCCCCATCCCAGTCACTCTCTCCCCAGCGCTCCACATCCCAGTCACTCTCTCCCAGCGCCTCCATCCAGTCACCTCCCCCAGCGCCTCCAATCCCAGTCACTCTCTCCCCAGCGCCTCCCACTCCCAGTCACTCTCTCCCCAGCGCCTCCCCCCCCAGTCACTCTCTCCCCAGCGCCTCCCACATCCCAGTCACTCTCTCCCCAGCGCCTCCCCATCCCAGTCACTCTCTCCCCAGCGCCTCACATCCCAGTCACTCTCTCCCAGCGCCTCCACATCCAGTCACTCTCTCAGCGCCTCTCCCTCTCAGTCACTCTCTCCCCAGCGCCTCCCCATCCCAGTCACTCTCTCCCAGCGCCTCCCCACTCCCCAGTCACTCAGTAGGCTTCCCCCCAGCGCCTCCCCATTCTCCGAGCCTTTAGCAGGCTTTCCCCCACCGCCTCCCACCTGCACGTCCCGCATCGTCGTCTGCTGGTCGATCTCTAGGTGCAGCAGCTGGCAGCCGGCCACGCCGAACACGGTCACCACCTTGCGCTGCAGCAGCTGGCCAGCTGGTCGAACACCACCACGTGCGGCGAGTCGGCGGAGAGGCGGCCGCGCCGCCGCGGCTCCCAGTCCAGCAGGCGCCGCAGCCACGGCTCCAGCTGCTGCCGCAGCGGCCTGTCCGGGGGCACAGCGCCGGCCGAGATCAGTCGGCAGCGGAGACGGGGCCGACGGTGGGTCCGTGAGAGGATGGGTCGCTGGTGAACGCCAGGCGGCTAGGGGCTGACCGACGGCCAGCTTAGGCGGTTAACAACCGGCCCGTGGGCGCGTTAGTTATACATAATAGAACACACACACACACACACAGCACATATATATAGATATATATATATATAGATATTATATATATATATATATATATATATATATATGTATATATATATATATAATATCCCTCTCCCTCTCTGTCCCTGTCCTTGTCCTCTGTCCCTCCCCTCTCTCTCTCTCTCTCTCTCCTCTCTCTCTCTTCTCTTCTCCCTCTCCTCTCTCTCTCTCTCTTCTCCCTCTCTTCTCTCGCTGCCAATGGCAAGTCCCCATATTGCGGCCATCGTAGGCGTGGTCTGCCAGCGGGCCACACCGCAAGCAAGGACTGTTCTTTTGCGTTGATGCGGGTGACGAGGCGGCGTCCCTTCCTGAACGGCGTTTCGGCCGGCTCCCGGCTGATACTGCAGCTCTCCCCTCCCCCTCCCCGTGGAGAAACGGGACGCCGCGGGGACTCGAGATGAGCCCGAGAGAGAGGAACAGACCAGATGGTGAGCTCCGCCCATGCCGGCCCCCTTCACCCACGCTCCACGCCACGCTGGGACGTCACCGACCTGCTCGCCTCGCCGCGTCGACGGCGACTGACCTGGAGATATGGGTACAGCCGACGATCTCCGAGCGGAACACGATCGTGCCGTCCTCCAACTCCTCCGCGCAGATGTCGTCGGGGCCCTTCTGCGACACGTGCTGCATCCTGGCGACAGACGGGCAAAGTGCAGGTGCGTCAGGTCACCGATACATGGCACGGTTCGCAAGCGTGCCAATTCACATGACACACCGCGACAAGAAAACACCACAAGAAAACACATAAGGGGCGAAAAAGTGTGCGGTTGCGGGCGTGCCACGCTCTACCCGGGGCCGCGGGGCCGTGCGTGTAACAACACAAACCATGTAAGGCACACTTCGGAAAACGAATCCATCCAAAAACGCACGTTGCCACCTTTTTCCATCCGCATACCACACCATCCACACCGCATACCACACCATCCACATACCGCATACCACACCTCTCCCCAGCCCCAGAGTCGCACAACGCCAGCAGGCAGAAAAGCTCGCACCGAGCGCAAGCCAGGGGAACGTGCGTACCGCCACAAGCCCGCAGACCTCTCAGCGCGGCGGGCGCTTCTCCACCCCAGGCGCCCCTCCCCCAGCACGTCGCGGACGTCCCCGGCCACGGACTGCGCTTACCACTTGGCGGGCACCATGTTGGGTAAGAAGGGGCGGACGCCAGTGACCACCTCATGCGCCACCAGACCCAGGCTCCAGTAGTCGGCCGTGCAGGTGTACCTGCCGAGGTCCCCGGTCGCGTGACCTCGGCGGGGTCACGGTCGCCGGTGACGGGTGCACAGGGCGGGACCGGAAGGGACGGGAGGTGACGTGGGAGCTGGCAGGGGAGACTGGGATGAATGTGGCGTCGCGACGAGGCATGATTGTGTGCTAGTGATTGATAGCGATAGTTGTGGGATCTGGATAGTGATAGTGACAGTAATAGTGATAAGGTGAGAGAATGATAGTCGTGTAGCGAGGCGTGGCCTAGACAGCAACAGTAAATATGCACAATTTGCTAGGTCCCGTGAGCGATGCAGGGAAATTATAAGAGTAGAATGTTATGGGCAATGCACATATCTGGGCTGGGAGAATTCTAAGAGTGCTTTAGGGGTAATGACACACAAGGCAGAAAGCGCGTAATAACGTAAACCATACAGGTGGGAAGTAACAACAGACAATGGAAGGGGGGGGGGGGAGGACACAACGGACAATGAATGCACATTACGAAATGAGGCACAAAGGAGCTTCTGAGCAAGTATCTTACCACACACTCATGGCATTGCTGCTGGAGGGAAACGCAACACACCCATGGCATTGTTGTTGGAGGGGAATGCAACGACAAACATTCCCCGTTCAAATCCGCCACAGGCAGTAGCTCGCTCGCTCCACGATATCTGAAGAGCCCAGCGATCGTCACGCCTTCAGCACGCGATCATCACGCCTTCAGCACGCGATCGTCACGCCTTCAGCACGCGATCACCATGCCTTCGGCACACGATCGTCACGCCTTCAGCACGCGATCACCATGCCTTCAGCATGCGATCGTCACGCCTTCAGCACGCGATCGTCACCCTTCAGCACGCGATCGCCGCACGCGCCGGCCTCTGACTTGTTGGTGAGGAAGAGCTCCGGCGCCAGGTACTGCAGCGTGCCGACGAACGAGGTGCACACGCTGGACTGGTCCAGCTCCTTGGCGTACCCCAGGTCGATCAGCTTGTACACGGTCTGGAGAAGGGGGGGGGGGTGAGTCTCCTGCGAGCACGCCTGGGGGGGGGGGGGGGGGGTTATCGCGCTTACAAGCCTCCTTGCCAGCTCATTTTAGGGGTAGCTGTACTGCGGCTAGGGTAGCCGTACCTTTCTTGGTATACACGAGGGGCCTGGCATGGCTAGGTTTCATGGCCTTGTTGTTATCCTAAAAAAGCATCGGTACTGCAACTGTGCGCCGTGAACATACTGTCTTCACAGCGTCCTTCGGTGCGTTATCGGGTGGTGTCAGAGTCCCGATGGTACACCACATGCACCGTTATGTAGCGCCCAGGCCCGTGCATACATTCCGCGGCTGCATAATGTAAAACATCGCCCCACATATCCTGCACATCACACGGCGCGTTTGTGGGCCGCGCGACAGTCGACGTAACGGGGAGGCCGGCCCCAGCATACCGACCTCTCGCGACGGCTCGCCACCGCAGCGGTGGGAAGGAGGGATGGGCGGAGTGGATCCCCGCCGTGGAAAGGTGACCGGATGGGCGGGGTGGACCCCAGCGGTAGAGGTGACCGGATGAGTGAGGTGGACCCCCAAGATGGGAAGGTGACTGGATGGGCGGGGTGGACCCCAGCGGTAGAGGTGACTGGATGAGTGAGGTGGACCCCCAAGGTGGAGAGGTGACTGGATGGATAGAGTGGACCCCGGCGGTGGAGACGTGACCAGATGGACGGGGTGGACCCCTCCTCCGCCCCGACAAGACCTAAGCACGCGGGATGCGGCCCGGCTGTGGACGCGACCAGCGCGCGAAGCCAGACAGAGACGTGGACAGCGTCACGCACACCAGCGCAGACACCTCTCAAAAATGACACCACGGCCGAGGCAAGCCGTGGCCGGCGAAAACTGCCCGCGGCGGGACTCGAACCCACGCACCCGTCCGTCGACCTCCTGCAGCACCACGTTTTCGGGCTTGAGGTCGCGGTGGATGATGCGCAGGCCGTGGAGGTAGCCGACGGCGTCCGTGATGTCACTCAGAAACCGGCGCACGGCCAGCTCCGGCAGGCCGCAGCAGTTCTCCGCGCTCAGGAGAACCTGTGACGTCATATTGACGTCATTCGAGGCACGCTCCGGCAGGCCGCAGAAGCTCACGGCTTAGCTAGCACATGTCGGCTGTCACGCCATAGTGAGGCCATCCACAACACACGAGCACAAGGCCAGCTCAAACCCAGACCGCAGCAACCCTCGGCGTTGGAGCGAGACTCGATGCCGACCTCCGGGCAAATCGACGCAACAGTTCGCAGGTCACATGAACGAGACAGTCCGAACTAGAAAGTCGCCTTCCAGAACCTCACGCTGTGCACCAAGAGCGGAAGACAGTGTACTCGACCCTCCGCCGCCCGCACAAACCCCCCGCCGCCCGACTGGCGGCGGCCACTGGGCGCCGGCCGGCCGGCCCGGCACGCACCCTGCGTAGATCGCCGCCCACGCAGTACTCCATGCAGAGCCGGGGCAGGGCGGTCGGGCCCACGCGGAAGGCGGCCGGCAGGGGCATGCAGCTGACGATACCCCTGCCGAGCCAGGTACGACGTCACAGAGCCGGTGCCGTCACCACATGTGACGTCACACTTCCCGGAATCAGTCGGAAGACTGCGCGGACGTCTTGACGCACGCACAACGGCTCTACTACATTCACGGCCATGGGATGAAGGCGTGCATATGGGCTAGTGAAGAGCACTCACAACGGCATGACAACAACCTGAAAACGCCTAAACAGATGAGAGGAACATACGCGTGGGACAGGGCACCCAATACGTTCACACAACCAGTATCGTCATGACTTCTCAAAGCACGTCTGTGCAGGTAGCGCTCCGCGGTGCACCCTGCCACCTCCCCTCCCCCCTCTCACCTGTGGTCCAGCTTCAGCATGATCTCCACCTCCTTCTGCCATCGCTCGCGCACTTTGGGCACCAGCAGGGCCTCCGTGCCCGACCCGGGCTCGCCCCAGCGGCACTGCTTGATCGCTGCCGGCCGACGGTGGCCGCATCAGCGGTCGGAGCGGCCACAGGCGGAGGTCGCGGGTTCAAATCCCGCGAGGCGCCATCGCGACCGCACAAACGCGCACGGTATAACAGGTGAGTGATGAGCAGAGCTGCGTGATTCCGAAAGCGGGCGATCCACGGAAACGCGGAGAAATATACAAATGACCAATACCAATACAGCAGAATCACAGGTCGTCACCACTATCTCTGTGACGCTGCCGGCTGTCGGGGGCGCGGTATAGGCAATACGTCCCAGGGCCCACTGAAAGAAACCCATCACACAGGGCGACAAAACACGACCGGAGCAGGATAATCGCAAGCAAAATGACATGCATCAGCTGCAATAGAGGAATGCCAACGGCGCTTAAAAGCGCGCCCCATACTCTGCGGGTGATACAGCAAAGGGCGACCCGGCACGGGGTGGGACACGACCCATCACGCTGGGGGATGGGGCGCTGGCTCGGTGCGCGGACCTATCTTGTCGCCCGTGTCGGCGTTGGTCCACAGAACGACGGTGCCGAAACCCCCGGAGCCGATGTCACGCACCCGCGTCCAGTCGCCGACCCGCTCCGGCATCCTGCCGACACCAGGTCAGGTCAGGACAGGTCAGGCCAGAATGCCACATCAGGTCAGGGTGCCGCGTCTGGTCAGGATGCCACGTCAGGTCGGGATGCACTGCCAGGTTAAGATGCCAGGCCAGGCCATTTCATAACACCAGGTCTGGTCACGTCACGATTTCAGGTCACCAGGTCAGGTCAGGTCAGGTCAGGTCTCAATTGGAAATGTTAGATCAGATAACATTGGCTGAACTCATGATTAAAGCATATCAATTATCATATTCATCACAAAGAGTAGTGTCTGGTCGAGTCAAGTGAAAGGGAGTGCTCCACATTTGTATGAGGTTTTGTGCTGAAACAGCCATCTTGAAGATAACTCAGTGCAGTCCACCATTTTTGCCATTAGCCCTTCTACTTTCTGAGCTACATGTCCATGGAGGTATGCAGACTATTTCTGAAGACCATTTTAATGTCACCCAAGCATCCCAGATTCTGCACTTCAAATCCTGCCATTCCGTTGGCCATGCCGTGATCAAGACCAAGAAAACAGAATTGTCTAGTCATTCATATTGGGCGTTGTTGGGCGGCTTTCCAGATATAACGTCGGTCAACTGGCTCCCAATCAATGTTGTGCAAGGTATGACAACATAGTCAAGCAATGACATACTGAGGAGCATGTCAACTTAACAGAGAACTTGTGTTGTCTAGAGCAGCTTTTGCACTGAAAAGTTCCCTTAACATCCTGGAACATTCCCTTTAAGCATCATCAGCTCTGGGCAATCCTCCAGATTAATGGTTCACATGCTACATCATGGAGAAGACTCTGGAACAAGCCAGTATGATGAACTCAGACATTCTGGCCATTGACCCTCTTCAGCACTCCTCATGGAAGCCACTGGGAACAGCACCTAACAGTCCACACCAGTCCAGTCAACAGTCCACACAACAGGCAAATGCTGGGAGATGCACTGGAGAAGTGAGGGGGGCCTGTGGCTGGAATATCCGCAAGCAGTGCCCCAGCTCTTTTCACAGCTATGACCACCTTGTGGCAAACAGAACACCAGTGCCAAAGATCCATGAGGATGCTGTGCCATTATTCAGCAAGCACCTGAGAATACCAGCAGCAAGTCTGGACAAGGACACACATCAGGTGAGTGGGTCAGCTGATGCCACTGTCCAGCCACTGGGTCAGGGGAGGTCACTGTCAGGTCACTGGGTCAGAGGATGTCACTGCCAGGTCACTAGGTCAGGGGAGGTCACTGCCAGGTCACTGTATCAGGAGATGTTACTGTCAGGTCACTGGGTCAGAGGATGTCACTGCCAGGTCACTACATCAGGGAGGTCACTGCCAGGTCACTGTATCAGGAGATGTTACTGTCAGGTCACTGGGTCAGAGGATGTCACTGCCAGGTCACTGGATCAGGCAATGTTACTGTCAGGTCACTGGGTCAGAAGATGTCACTGCCAGGTCACTTAGTCAGGGGATGTCACTATCAGGTCACTGGGTCAGAGGATTTCACTGCCATGTCACTGTATCAGGGGATGTTGCTGTCAGGTCACTGGGTCAGAGGATGTCACTGCCAGGCCACTTAGGGAATGTCACTATCAGGTCACTGGGTCAGAGGATTTCACTGCCATGTCACTGGGTCAGGGGAGGTCACTGTCAGGTCACTGGGTCAAAGGATGTTACTGCCAGGTCACTGTATCAGAGGCTGTCACTATCAGGCCACTGGGTCAGAGGATGTCACTGCCAAGTCACTGTATCAGGGGATATTACTGTCAGGTCACTGTATCAGAGGATGTTACTGCCAGGTCACTGTATCAGAGGATGTCACTATCAGGCCACTGGGTCAGAGGATGTCACTGCCAGGTCACTGAGTCAGGGAATGGTCACCTATCAGGTCACTGGGTTAGGTGGACATTGCTGGCATCACATTAAACCATTTCATATGAATGGGTCTAATGTGGCTTCCTATGAAATGGTCTAACCATTTTGCAGGACGCCACAAACCCTACGACCCGCGTTGCATAAATGCAGTGAAAATAAGATCTTTTCGATATAAATGTGACAGTTTTCAGGAGATGAAGATGTGCTATTTCTAACAATGTGAAGTAGTTGGCATTGACACAACTCACTCTTATCCACATAGTTGGCTTAATACTGACTCAGACATACAAAATCAACAATGACCACTTCAACCTTCACTGCACAAGATTTGGCCCATTCCAGAAGTACCTCAGTAGCATGTCACATGTACTGGTGACATGTACATGTAACTAGCATGCACAATAGTGTACAGTACACACATGTACTAGTGCACTACTGTGGTGCAGTTTAATATAAACTATCTGATGCAATATCAAGCTGAGATCTAGAGGCTTTACTTTTGACAAGATGCCTCTTGTCATTTTCAATAAATATGGAAAATGCCTGTCTGGCAAGAGCTTATGAAAAGGTGAGGTTGTTCTATAGGTCAGCAGTGGATGCATGCAGTGCTAACTGTTAAAATGCTATCAAAGACCATACGGATAATGCCATTGATACATACAGCTGTGCAGAACATCACAATGAGAGGACAAAATCCATGCTAAAGAAAAGTTGGCTTTCAAAGGCCAACCAACTTTACAGAGTCTGAGCAAGTCTGACATCAGACATTTCAGTTAAGCAACACATTCAAGAGCTTAGGCCATTTGGAATGAATACTGCCATGTAGAAACAAAGATCATGCCATAAAATATACAGGCATGTAAAATCCTGCTAGTGCAGAAGAAAAGCAACCAAAAAGTGGTAACAGAATGTATCTTTACCCTGGTATGTTGTGCTTTGGATGCTATTCAAAACCAGGTCATGAAGCTGGTGAAATAGGAAAAGATCTGATGAAGTAGGACCAGAACCAGCAAGGCTCTGCATGCAACCAGGAACCCAGTAGTTTGCTTGATTTTCTGGAACAGATAGCTGAATCAGACTAGCAGCATATTATATCATGTCCAAAGCATTCTGTGACTGCAAGGCTAAGCTTTTTCGCTTGACGGTTACTTATAGGTCGCTTATAAGGTTATGAAGGTATCGCTCTGTAGTTACTGATAAATGACTTATGACTTCTGGTACCACTGGCGTCGGTCTCGAATTTCCTAAAACCGCCTGAATTAACAAGTTCTAGTACCCAAGTAACACACTAATGGTACCAATAGATCCGCCGCATTACTCATGAAGGGCTCTCAGTAGCTTTTTGTGGCACATAATGACAATAAAGAGGCATTTCATCATGCCATCCGTCGCCCGCCCACCTCACCCCCAACCAGGCGCTCTACCACCCTTCCCCAACCCGCCCCAACCTCAGTTCCAGGGCTGTGTCCCCAATCAAGGCGCAAAGTCGCGTTGCGGCTGTATTGATTACGCGACGATCGTGAAGGTCGCTAACGCTTCCAGCTGATTGTATCATGACGTCACAAAGCCACAATATCACTACTAGCCTAATTATAGTCGCCAGTGCCTCCAAAAGCCTGAAAACAGCAATCTGGCGCTTCCAGATTCCTAAGGTCCTCGGGTACTGGGGCGGTCCCAGGGGGGGGGGGAGGGGGGATTGGGGTCATGGCCCCCCTTGGACGCCGAAGGTGTCCCATAGGCTCCGAAGGGGCCCAAAGCGGGCTGAACACAACACGCAACAAAACTGGACATCTTGTTGGGCTTCCGGGCGTACAAGAACAGCCGCAAGCGAAAGTGGGAGGCAAAAATCACTATTCACTGATTGAGTGGGTCGTGGCTGGCATATTATGAAGTTCATTGCGCTGTCCGGAGACTCTATGTTCGTTTCCGGGGACCTATATGCCAACTTGCGGATCAATCCGGTCGTTAAAGAGCCTTCCAAACTGCACCTAATTTTCTTGCATTTGCTAGGAGGGCACTGGGCTGTTGCTGGGGCCCTTCTTGCCACCGTACCGTGGCGCTCTTGTCATTCAGTGCCTTCCACAGATTCTTCCGATTCGCCCGAAAGGCTCTGTACACCACAGCCGGAGGGCCCCATATGTTAACCTGCCGGGATATTCTCGGTTGCTCAGGGGCCCATCACGTTCGCTACGGTTCACCTTCTGACACACTCGCGATATGCTCATGGGCCCTATATCTTGGTCTAGGGCCACTCCATTCTCTGTCACTGGCTTAGAGCATTGCGTTCTTGTCGGGGCCATCTGTTAACCTGCTTATGCGCACTTGGTCGTTCAGGGCCCTCCTAGCTGGGTCTTGGGTACTTTCTGAATGGGGTACTCTACCCAGTTGTCGGAGCCCCATTTCTAGTCTATTCTATTATGCTCCTATTCGGGCACACTGGATTATTGGGGGCCCCGCTTATTGTGATCGGGTACACTCGAGCTTTCAGAGGCCCTCCACACAGGGTCTTGGGTATTTCATATTTAAATGGAGGGCCTTACGCTCTTGTCGGAGCCTATATCTAATAGCCCCGCGAGGCAACATTAGACCGTTTGAGGGGCCCTCTACAATGCGTCGTGGGTATTTCTTATTTGAATGGAGGACCCTTTTTGTTGGGGACCCCATCCGTTAACCTGCTTGGCCACTCTCGATCATTCGGAGGCCCTCCATGTTGTGTATTTGGTACTTCTCACTTGAATGGGTAGTTGTATGTTTCTTAGCAGGGCCCCCTTCTATTAAGCCCTCAGACTGGTGGCGGGGTTACAGAGGGGGGGAATGCACGGGACCATGCCGCCCTTGTACCACATAGGGACCATAGGCTTCCGAAAGGGCCCACGACCGGCCGAACGCACACAGTTTTCTAACACAGAACGGAACAAAACTGAACGTCTTTGGGCTGCTTACGACCAAGAACAATTGGGAGCAAAAGTAAAGAGCCCATAAGCAGACAAAGTTAATTATCCGCTGATTGAGCTGATGATTGGGAATTTGTTGGGCTCGTTACGCTGTCCAGAATCCTTACACTATTGCCGGGGCCCTATACACTCACATGTCGGGTGAAAGGGATCGCTAAGGAGCCCCCCACGTTGCCCTTGATATCTTTGCATTTTCTCGCAGGATCTTACGCTGCTGTTGGAAAACCATCTGCTTACATGCATGGGCACTCTTGATCGATTAGGTTTTCATCCACGGATTCTTCGCATTCGCCCGAAAGGCTTTATAAGTTTTTCCGAGGTCCCATTTGCCAGGATACACTTAGTTCCTCAGGAGACCTTCACATTGGTGTCGGGTTCTTTCCACATGTTCGGAGGGCCTTGTGCTGTTGGTGAGGCTCACACAAGGTAAGGTACCAAGCCACGCGATGCTCAAGGGCCCTCTTTTGAACTAAGGCTCTTTCACTTTGATCCCATTTGTGGAGGACCCTTCTCCCTGCCGCGTCCCTTGCTGTTAACCAGCCTGAGCACTCCTGATCGCTCAGGGACATAAGTTCGTTGCACTAGTGTTCGGTAATTTTTCTTTGCTCAGAGGTTGCTGTGCATGGCGGTCTGCCGGGGCACTACCGAACATGGCGGTCTGCCGGGGCACTACCGAACATGGCGGTCTGCCGGGGCACTACCGAACATGACGGTCTGCCGGGGCACTACCGAACATGGTGGTCTGCCGGGGCACTACCGAACATGGTGGTCTGCCGGGGCACTACCGAACATGGCGGTCTGCCGGGGCACTACCGATCCTTCAGGGGCCTACCACGTTGGTTCTGGGTCTTCTCGCTTGCTCTGCGCACACTCTACTCGTTGAGGGAAGCCTCTATGTTGGCCTCCGGCCGGCACCCATGATTCCACACGATCCGCCCTCATTGGCCATGGTGCCTTAGCCTCAGAGCGGCAGTCGGCTGGGTGCCAGTGACTTCTTCGCGCAATTGTCGCAGGTTATTTAAGTGCCGCAAACATCCAAGTGGCATTTCCATTAGTTATTTAATGTTCGACAGTACTCTACCCGTTCGTCACATTCTTCATACACCTGAATGCTAGGATATTTTGCACTCCTTTGTAACAAAAGGAAAAACTCTGCATTAGTCATCAGCCATCAGCTGATCACATCGACCTGTTGTCTAGCCGTAAATAAGCTAGAACCAAGTTGGTATTTTCTGATGGGATTTAGCAACCAGCTTTAGTAGATCTTGTCTGTTTTTTTTCCGAAACTTGGCCTAAAATGACAGGATTTTTCATGATCTATATGCCACGTTTATATATATATATTATATATATATATATATAGATATATATTATATATATATATATATATATATAGATATGCGTGTTTGTGGTGTGTGTGTGGGTGTGTGTGTGTGGTGTGTGTGTGTGTGTGTGTGTGTGTGTGTGTGTGTGTGTGTGTGGTGTGTGGTGTGTGTGTGTGTGTGTGTGGTGTGTGTGTGTGTGTGGTGTGTGTGTGTGTGTGTGTGTGTGTGTGTGTGTGTGTGTGTGTGTGTGTGTGTGTGTGTGTGTGTGGTGTGTGTGTGTGTGTGTGTGTGTTGTTGTGTGGTGTGTGTGTGTGTGTGTGGTGTGTGTGTGGTGTGTGTGTGTGTGTGTGGTGGGTGTGTGTGTGTGTGTGTGTGTGTGTGTGTGTGTGTGTGTGTGTGTGTGTGTGTGTGTGTGTGTGTGTGTGTGTGTGTTGTGTGTGTGTGACGTAACATACCATTTATCCTTAGATGTAGAAGCAGAAATGCGAAGAAGTTCATTACGCTGCCCAGATACCCAATGTCGTTTCCGGGGACCTACATGCCAACTTGCAGGGTCAATCCAATCGTTAAAGCACTTTCCAAACTGCGCCTACTTTCTTTTGAATTTACCAGGGGGCACTGGGCTGTTACTGGGGGCGTCTCAAAATTCTAGAGGGCCCCACAATGTTGCGTGCCCACCCCCACCCCCTTGACGAAATCCTGCATCCACCCCTGCACGGGAAGTCGCAAGTCGATTTCCTGTGTGCGGTTTGTCGCTTTCCGGTTGAGTGATTGGTACCTTTCAGTTCAGAACTAAGGAGCCAGACACGCACTCAGGTTCAGTTGAGGTATGTGAATCAGGATCACTGTTTATGCACACTTTAATTCCCAATGATTACCCAGCCGAAAACCAAGGTACATCCAGCATAGTCCCCACCTCTCACCCCGCCATACTGACCACTGACACTCGCTGCCCAGGCCGGATCCGTGCCTGGGTTTTGTCGAAGTCGGCTTTTCACCCGCTATATACCAAGGCCATGGATCACCTGCGTATATTGGTATACAAGTCGATAGAGACCTTTTACCTGGAGACTTTCTACGGCTATTTAGCGGCATCTTACTGCGTTAGAAAATTCCCTAGTTTGTTAAGGCCTCGGCGAACAGAACATGCCGTGGTGCTGCTGTCTTGGTATAGGTGGCAAATTCAAGGTTGTTTGTGGGAGCAACGGTTGTTGGTTTCACATGCCTGCGTACCTAATCATAATGCAAATTATGTATTATGCAATCATGACAAATACTTAAACACGTATTTTGTATTTGCGAATGATGACGTCGCTACCGTACACACTGCGATTTATTCAGACATGCCCTCTGCTTGGCATTTACAGTCTATCCTTCTCGTATGGATGCCTTAAACACCTTATCATGTGACTCTGGTGGTGACACGGCACGCAAATAAGTAGGCGGTGAGCACGGCGGCAAACCATTATAACGGCTACCGGCTGAAGCTGTCACGCTGAGTGTATAAAAGGTGTGCCAACAGCGATGATATCGCCTCGCGTTGTAGCCGCTTACTTTTACGGCACGCAGTCAAAGCGTCCCAAAGCGTCCCAAAGCGTCCCAGAGCGTCCCACAGCGTCCCACAGCTGATCCAGCCCGATGTGCGGGATGCAAATACAAACTTACGCTGCCGGTATTCTGACCCGCCGGAGGCCTCCACAAGTACTTTATTGGCAGTTTGTATGTTGTCCTGTGAC